TTCACATTTAAGAAGTCTGAGTGTTCTTGGTTAATCGTTGTTTTTATAAAAGCAGCAAACCTGAACCTCAGTAATGCATTAATTTAATAGTCAGTAAACTAGCTGTGATCATCTGTGAAGTATAGATTTTGTTGGAGCTACTTGTCTACTATTTCTCACCCTCCTAGGAAATATGCCTGGAATGAGGCTTGATAGGCAGTGTGGGCACCAGCTTATAGTTAACAGGCCAAGAATGCCGGAGGATACTGCTACAGTTTTATCTTTCTGAAGACAAACTAACACTGTTCACCTTGTTCTCTCAGCATTGTTGGACAGAAGAGGATGTATCTGTTGTATCAGGGCTTTTGGAGTTTACAGCAGAATTGAACTCAGTCAAGACTCTGAGTGAGACTGGATTTTAGAGGCCGATGTCGTTAAGAAGCAAAAGTTAAGAAGAAAATTCAAGATAAATAAAAATCAGGGTTTATGATTATGTACTTCCAGTACAGTAAACTTACTCTTTCAACTTACTCTGACAACTGCACTCGACTACTGTGAGGATGTGTACAGTTTACATGTGTTATAAGCATTACCAGCTATTTCAAACAAATACTCACCCTTTTATATTCTGTTGTGCAATATTAAATAACTCCCAGCGCATAGAATAAACTTTGATTCAATGCAAAATATTCTCATAACAAACTAAGTTATTAAACTTACATCAGAGTTTGTAAATTGATCAAATAACAGGATATAAACCTATTTCATTTGAGGCTGTTGTTTTGCGACTGGCTCTGAGTTCTAGCTAGTTTTAACTCAGGCCACTTTACCTTTTTTTAGTTTCTTTAAGATGTCAATGTCCAGCTGGGTGACGTTGATTAAATTTGGGGATTTTTTTTGTCCTCCTTCCCCTTACCCCCAGCTGGTTCCAGTAAATCGCTGCTTTCCGTGAGCCTGGTCCTGTTGGAGGTTTTTCCTGTTAAAAGGGGATTTTTACGTCCACTCTGACCCACAGCACGCTCACAAGGCCTCGTCTGATTATCTAAAATGCTACTAGACATGTAAGATGGAATAAGACATTAGTGATTGAGGTCTGAAATTAACAATGGCGCAGACTTTTCGATAAACACTCAAAAAACTTATGGTAACCTGATTATCGTTCATGGCTCGTATATCTTTACTATAGAAAACCTGTAAGATGAAAAAAGGCATTTTTGTCATCCACTTTGAATGTAAACAATGGCATAAAGTGATACGACAGTACTAGACTGATGCAACAATACTATCATGTGTGCTTTTGAAACAAACCACATACCGTTTTTTGTGCACTCTTAGTACACCATTGTCCTGTAATCTCTTCATCCACATAAGCTGGAAAATCAGATGTTTTGTTCTTCTGCTGCTTATCTTTGCTCTGCTTTTCACAGTCTGCAGCTTGTAAAGCTTTGAATGT